TATGTGCATACAGTGTATTCATTATGAGCATGTATGATTAATTAATGAGATATGTAGTAATTAATTTTTTCAGTTAAAACGTAATTGTTGTGAAAGTTTTTTTGAGTTAAAGAAAAGTAATTTTAATGTTTTGAAATTCAATCCTAATCTGTATAAGGATTTAACGAAAAAATCTATGTTTTAAAAACCCTTTGGAATTTTCCATTGTTGTATGATTATGTATACATTTTCATCTTATTGGAATCAGTGCCATCTTAAGTTGATGATAGAAAAATGCCTTTGTTTTTACTCTAGTTAAGTGGGTAAGTGGTAAGTGGGTTTCGTATTGGGTAGGTCTCGCGGGGAGTAGAGCTTTATCGCAGTAACTTGTCTTTTCATCATTGTTAAGAATTACAGTTTTATGTTTCTTTAACAACTTGCGCTATTCTGGGAATACCATCCTCAGAAGCTATTAATTTGCCCTTATGATTTGTGATCTTGCTCTGGCAGGAGTTCCAAAATAAGACCCTTGCTCTGATAATGCCCATAGTTTCAAAAACCAAGAAACATTATCATTATGATTTTATTGCAAAGGATAGTTGAATATTGTTTATTAAAATTAATAATCCCCATAACCGTTTTCCAATATAGATGAATTATAGTACGTAACAAATATATAACTCTCATCAATGAAATAAAGAAATATATATTTACATTATTACTAATGCATTGCAATACAACTAATTAAATTGAAAGAAATTGCAATATAAAATATTTTGTCAGTAACACTTCTCAAAGGCGTATTTCACGGTCAGTATTATTTACGAAAATATTTGTTTATAATTTTATAAATTACCTTGGCAATTTCCACCCCAATTAGATATGTGTACATATTTTAATAAATAAAATTGAAAATACACTAACAAAAATGAAATATTAATTATTGGCGATCCGCTCCGCTAGGATTGCTCTTATAATCACTTTTGTTGTTTTGTTGGCGATCCGCTCCACTAGGATTGCCCTTATTGCCGATCCACTCCGCTAGGATTGCCCTTATAATCACTTTTGTCGTTTTTTGTGTGTGTGTCTGTGATTTCCTGTGTTTTTTTCTCTCAAACTTGGCAGCTAGGTCATACCTTCACCCTAGTTATTAGGAAAAATCTGAAAAAAAATGTTGGCTCACCATTGCCATAGCAACAGCCAAAAAACTGATTTTTGGATAGCTTCGCGCCAAATCTATCTCCTCCTACAAATTTAGGATAAAACACTTCTGACACAGCTCATTCTACTCAGCTTGAGTGTGGGCACAAAGTTACTATTTGAATTTTTGATATCTTTTTTTCATTACCGAGAAATTTGACCCCAAAGTTGGGGTAACATTTTACCAGCAATGCCTTTTAACTCCTCTGTGATTTTTTCGACTCAGCTGATTTTGCTCATACTTCACAGGTAGGTCGTATCGTCATCTGACTAATTGGAAAAAAAATCCTGGCCCACCACTGCCATTGCAACATCCAAAAACTGATTTTTGAATACTTTCGCCCCAAATGTATTACCTCCTACCAGTTTTGTAATAGAAGTGTTCAAATGATCATGCTTTTGCGAACTTCGTATACGGGCCCATTCAGTTATAAACTGACGTTAGCTTCACGTTTATGTCACACCATAAAAACAGCCAAAAACATGTTGCTTGTTTTTGAGCGGAGTGGATCAACAACCAGCCTACTGGCTTTTGTGTGTGTGTGTGTCTGTGAGTGTGATTTCCAGTGTTTTCATGTATTATATTAAAAAACTGATTTTTGGATAGCTTCGCGCAAAATGTATCTCCTCCTACAAATGTAGGATAAAACACCTCAGACATAGCTTATTCTACTCAGCTTGAAAGTGGGCACAAAGGTACTATTTGAATTTTTGATATCCTTTTTCATTACCGAGAAATTTGACCCCAAAGTTGGGGTAACTTTTCACCAGCAACGGCTTTTTTCGAGTCCAGGCATAAAATGGAAGCAAAGGGACAAGACATAACACAAGTGGTCTGTCACATGTGTTCACTACTCCGTAATGAATAGCTAGTTGTAAAACTACACACACCGTGTCATCTCCTTCAAAACAGACTTATGCGGAAGAAATAGACATGTTTCCTAGTGTTGCGGAAAAAGTAGCCAAAGATATTTGTACTTGTGTGGATTTACAGTCACCCAAATCGAGAAAGAAGTAGTAGGAAATGATCGTTCAAAAGTACAGTCGCCAACAATACAAACAGATTATGGCTATGATTGCGTCACCATCGATGAGTCTCCCGAGTCGTACACGAAAAACACCAATTACTGGTCGATAACAAGTCAACTTTATTAAATAAGGCAAGAAATATAATGCAGCAAAAAGAGACAAGTTCCCTGGAGACAATTGAAGACATAGAGACAAGTTACGTGAACTTGTCAAACAAAATAGATAAAGTGCAGGACAAAATGGACATAATAGCAAATTTTTAGATGAAATTACTGGTAATTACCAGAAAGAATTTACTGAAGTAATGGGATCAATTGGTAAACTAAATACAGTCGCAATGCAATCTAACAAAGAAATAGCACAAGTTAAGAAAGGCATCATGAAAATAGAAGATACACAGACCAACATCCTTGAAGTTCTGAAAGAAATCAAAACTTCATTAGTACTGATAACACCAAAACCAACAAAAGTCTGTGCATCTACACAAACAACTGAATTTGAGATTCCAGTAAACAATAAATCAAATAATGAAATACAAATTCTGCCTCAGATTGTGTTATACCCAACGTACCAGTTGATAACCATTATGAAGTCTTGGATGAAAATACCTCAGATAT